GTGTTATAAATTTTGTATTCTGCATCAAATGCGAAGGATGTTCAGAATTATTAATGAGAGTGTCAATGGTGTGTTGCTGAGGCTGGTTAAATAATAATAATAATAATAACAAATAAATGTTAACTCTTTCGCAGGCAAGCATTGAAATATCCTACAATTCTAAATTTTCATCCTCGAAAAAAATGTAAGAACATTTCTAAGATATATTTACACCTTTGGATTTTCTTTATTTCTTTCTTTTGAATGGGTAAATAGCAGTCGAATAAGTACTGTAATTAGGCTAACACAAATGATTTAATTTTAATTCAAGATGTAAATGTCCCCATCAAAATTGATTATCCAACTTCATTTTACTACTATTTCATCAAATTACATTAATTAATTGATAAGATATTGCCACTTCCGCCTTTAAAAAGAAAGGAAAGAGCCTTAATTTTATATTTAGGGTCAAATCTTCATTGAAATGGTCACATTTTCATTCATTGGACTGGTATAAGATGATGCTAGGAATTGTACGATGATTAAAAATTTAAAAGCGAAGAAAACTCCACGAAAATTCAGCATTTCTCTATTGAAAACGTTTTCAATAGAGAAATGCTGAATTTTTGTGGAGTTTTCTTCGCTTTTAAATTTCTAGTGAATCTGCGATTCAAGCAATCTAGTGACAGCAGCACGTGGAGGCTGTAGTGAAAATTTTTAAGTGACCATGCATAGCAAGTTAAATTATTTTATATTTTGTATTAATATATATATTTTATAGCTATATTTTTTAACCCTTCACTTTAAGTGACCATGCCAGCTGAAGGATTAGAAAATATAACTCAGTACTCACTGCAGTGAGTGACAGAGAGCGCTTTTTCTCGTCGATGAAAACGTCAAATAAGGGACGGACGGACAGACGGACGGACATGACGTTTTTTCCATAAATGAGAAAATGCGCTAAAAAGATGTTTGCTGCTGCAGTAAATCTTGGGTTAAGATTATTGATACACTGGCGCGATATTGCTTTGATTATTGTCTACCAAATGAGTGTAGTCTGTCAAATGAGTGTAGTCTGCCAAATGAGTGTAGTCTGCCAAATGAGTGTAGTCTGCCAAATGAGTGTAGTCTGTCAAATGACTGCACTCATTAATAATACGCTGTTGTGCTCTAAATAAAATAATTATAGGCTTTATTTTATTTATTTATTTTATTATATTTTATATTTATATATATTGCTTTATATTTATATATATATATTGCTATATATTTATATTTATATCTATTGCATTATTATAAAGCCTGTCATGGCGCTGGGTTAATTGTACGCTGTTGTTCAGTAAGTATCGTAAAGCAAGTCAGGACCTTGCTTTACGATACACTTAATTGCTGCTTGATTTACCCCCTTCCCTGTTACTATTTTACCCCTAATTGCTGCCTGATTTACCCCCGTCCCTGTTACCATTTTACCCCTAATTGCTGCCTGATTTACCCCCGTCCCTGTTACCATTTTACCCCTAATTGCTGCCTGATTTACCCCCGTCCCTGTTACCATTTTACCCCTAATTGCTGCCTGATTTACCCCCGTCCCTGTTACCATTTTACCCCTAATTGCTGCCTGATTTACCCCCGTCCCTGTTACTATTTTACCCCTAATTGCTGCCTGATTTACCCCCGTCCCTGTTACCATTTTACCCCTAATTGCTGCCTGATTTACCCCCGTCCCTGTTACCATTTTACGCCTAATTGCTGCCTGATTTACCCCCTTCCCTGTTACCATTTTACGCCTAATTGCTGCCTGATTTACCCCCCGTTCCTGTTACCATTTTTCGCCTAATTGCTGCCTGATTTACCCCCTTCCCTGTTACCATTTACTCCCATGAACGCTGCACCAAATTCTTACGAGCTTAATTTAAGTTCTTATTACGGTCGATTTAGAGGCGATTAATCCCCCCCTCTTATTACGGTCGATTTAGAGGCGATAAATCCGCCCATCTTCATCTTCATCTATCTTGTGAGGATTCGGCTCATTGCTTCTTCTTTTTTTTTTTGTTTCTTCGTGAAATGAAATTTATTTCAACGGTATTATCATTTTACAGCTTTTGATGAGTCTTAACAGGATGCTTGGTATATATGGAATGTTATCCAGTGAAAACCTTTAACTTGGATGCCACTGTGTTATAAATTTTGTATGTGTTGACCAGTTAAATAATTCTTTAATCATGAATTTCATCAAAACCATGCTGGTAACTTTTTTAGTACTTCAAAGATCACGATGTTTTCAAACTGCCGAAAAAGATTTTTTTTGAGCTTTACAATGAAAACATTTTATTTAGCCTCCATCACTGCATTGCTCTGTCTTTATACATTCGATGTTGTAGGCAACATATTCAACATATATATATATTACATATATATTTTCATGGCATATATATTTATAACTGAATTATATTCTGTCGTATCTCTTTCTTCGGTTTCAGTCACATGTTTCAGCCATATATATATAGTCTAACTGAGCAAAATTTTCTCAGTTTTTATTTTTTTAGCTCTGCCTCGTTTAATTCTAGCGGCTAATCTATATAGGTCGATTAGTGGCCGTTGATTATGAGGAGAAATTCTTTTAGGAGATCATGACTGGACGCTCCTGATGCCTGGTCGTCAGAGCTTCGTTGTTGGAACCTGTTTGTTGCGGAGGCCACGCATATAAACTATATATAAACTTTCAGAGTTATTCTGATATTTATTAGGAGTCTTCTGTTTATTTATCCGAAAAGGTACCTCTTATTTTTCTAAAATTAAAATTTTTCTCTCAACTTCTCGTAATTCAATATTATCGTATTTTAAATTATCATGATTTCTTCAAGGTAATTTAAATCATATTGAACAAATTCCGTTGAGTTTTATTGAGCGCTTAGTGAAGCGTAAAAAAAGATATGATGCAGCAATAATAATTTAATATTCCAGTCAAAATCATCGTTTATTTACTATTTAATCTATCTCTTTCTCTATTTCTCTATTTGTTGTATGTTGAAAAGGTTAGGAATATATATACATATATACCTGTCTGGTATATATGTATATATATTCCTTGGATCTGTATTGTTGGCTGAGAACAATGAAAAGCAGCACCATTCTCACCATCAGGAGTTAGTGCTGCTGCTGGCAGCACCATTCTCACCATCAGGAGTTAGTGCTGCTGCTGGCAACACCATTCTCACCATCAGGAGTTAGTGCTGCTGCTGGTGCAGAGCGTCGGTCATTTCATGGCTGCGTTCTCCTCATCGCTGAGCTCATTAGTCACAAACCTGGGCCAGGCGAACGTCCTGTCGCCTTCGCCTGTCTTTTTACTGTCGCCTGTCTGTTTACCGTCGCCTGTCTGTTACCGTCGCCTGGCTGTTTACCGTCGCCTGTCTATTTACCGTCGCCTGTCTATTTACCGTCACCTGTCTGTTTGCTATCGCCTGTCTATTTACCGTCTTTCGCGTTCTTGCTTCTTCTTCTCAAAATTAACGCACTCAGGCGAGGACGGAGGCAGTGACGATATAGAGGATAAAAAATAAAATAATAGGAATAAGAGAAAATCATTTAAAATGAAAACGATTCGAAATTTATGATGAAATTATGAAATTATTTATGATGCGCGCACATCACAAATTGCGTATCGTTTTTTTATCCAGTTTCAATTTTTCCTTCGCTCTGCTCGAATAGTTCCTCTTTTCCGTATCTGTATTCGCCTTAACTACGAAAAAAAATCGAGTAATGAATTAGTATGCTACAAAATGATTGTTAATTTAGAGCTGTCAAGAAGTGTTTTTGATCTTAATTAAGTGTGATGTTAAGTTTGGCTACAACATTAAGCTTTCGATAAAGTTTGAAGCCGTGACTACACTCAAGTCTCGGCCATCGAAATTTTGGTCAGGAAATTCTAAGTTAGGGATATAATTTTTGCTACTTGCAGTGGAAAATTAATTTATTTATAGTGCACTTTAAGTTACAATTACTAATCCAGGTTTTGTCAAGATCGTATGATTTTGCAAATAATAAATTTATTAATTAACACTATCATAAGTTTCATTGTTTCATTATTTCACTGAAGCGAATTTCGACGTTGCTGTCGTTGTCTTGCTTGGCTGTTCCGCTAAATTCCCCGCTAATGAGCTGTTACTTGCAGTTATAAATTATTGCTCCCCCTTCCATAAATTAGTGCTCCCCCCTTCCATAAATTAGGGCTCCCCCCTGCCATAAATTAAGCCTCGGTGCCATAATGAGTGACGGTTACCATACATGGAAGCCCCTTCGTCACGACGAATTTCGGATGGCAGCGCTTCTTAGGCAATCAACCGTCGGTATGCGGTCATTATAGTTTTTTTTTTTCATTATTTATTCTCTTTAAATATGCTATTAAAAATTATGCGACTCTGCACCGCAGTTGAATTGACATTCTTATTGATCGGAAGCTATAGATTATTACTTATTATTGACATTCTTATTGATCAGAAGCTATAGATTATTACTTATTATTGACATTCTTATTGATCGGAAGCTATAGATTATTACTTATTATTGGTTAATAGTGCAAAACGATGTTACCGGTCAAATACGATGCGATATTGTTGAAAATTAGGTTAATTTCTTTTATACACTCGGCCGATGAATGGAAGAATTGTCTGTGTTGAAGGCGTAGAGGAAAGTTTTCTGTGTTGCAGGTGTAGAGGAAAGTTTTCTGTGTTGCAGGTGTGGAGGAAAGTTTTCTGTGTTGCAGGTGTAGAGGAAAGTTTTCTGTGTTGCAGGTGTAGAGGAAAGTTTTCTGTGTTGCTGGTGTAGAGGAAAGTTTTCTGTGTTGCTGGTGTAGAGGAAAGTTTTTTGTGTTGCTGGTGTAGAAACAAGATTTTCGTGTTGCAGATGCATGAACTATTTTGCCGTGTTTCTAATTTCTGTAAAAGTTTCCTTTATTTCAGGTTTATAAACTTGTTTCGTAGATGTGTGAAAAAGTTTTTATAAGCAAATTTTGTGTCTTGCAGATGTATGCAACACAACTGAAGCTGCTCATCTGGAGCAGCAGCTGCGTTCGCTGGGCTGTGAACTTGTAACTCTGCGGTCTCGGCTGCCAGCAACAGCTGTAACATCTGCACAAAATATAACACCAAACATATCAAACAACAACAACAACAACGAGAGTGAAAACTGCAACAAGCCTGAAAAAATTCTTCCACCACAGCTGCCAGCCGTGAACTCGAGCCGCATTAACCACCCAAATTTGCTCGACTTGAACCCCCCGTTGCGCCATAACCCCTCGACCCTGGCTGGCACTACCAACCCTCCTAACCTAAAGAACCCCAGAAATTTTTCTCGGGTTAACAGCAATACGCGGACAATCGAAAACTCATCCTACAATTCTCATAGTTTTGCCCCTCGTGCCGCTCTGCATCAGTCCGAAGAGATTTGTTCTTCGGCAACCACGACCAACAACTTCAGTAACGGCAATTTTCACGCCAACAACAACAACACAAATATCAGCAGTAGCGACTTCCACCGTATCCATCAAAATTCATTTATCCTGCGGCACAGTCGCCCACAGCCGCTGCAGATCCACCAAAAGCATCCTACACAGAAGCCTCCTGCCGCTCCCCCTCCTGCTAAACAAGGACTTCTGAAACCTCCTGCCCAAGTACAAGCCATCCACCAAATCCCGGATCGCGCTCCCAAAGAAAATCCTGCGAGTGAATCCGCTTCTAAAAACTCAGCGACGGGAGGTGAGTGATGCGACCACTTAATTTTTTGTGTTGTGTATTCAATAATAATTTATTCAGGTTATCCAAAGCTGGGCTTAATTATTTAACCCAATCTCCGCAGGTTGAACAGTAAGTCTCACACTTTGTAAGAGCTTTAAAAAGATGGTCGGAGAAAAGTCTAACAGGCACTCCAGTTTTCACACTCTTATATTAGACGGAGCCATGGTTTAGGATCTATAATACGTCAGGTGTTCTCTGATCAATAATACGACATCAGTGTTGATTTTGACTAATTATTTTCGTTTTTTAATGAAAATGTTAGAAACGCCCTAGGTTTGGCTCAGCTGTAGCGTGTAGGGCAGATGTGAGCATAGCCTCCCTGTCAACTCCAGGTGATGCCGATGCTGCTGCTGCCACTCATTCTGTGACTTTCGTTAAAGTTGTTCTGTGAATATTGTTAAAGTTGTTCTGTTAATATCGTTAAAGTTGTTCTGTGACTTTCGTTAAAGTTGTTCTGTGAATATTGTTAAAGTTGTTCTGTGAATATTGTTAAAGTTGTTCTGTTAATATCGTTAAAGTTGATCTGTGAATATCGTTAAAGTTGTTCTGTGAATATCGTTAAAGTTGTTCTGTGAATATCGTNTTTACGATTCATTAAGCATGTGACTGTGTTTATCGGTCTACGATTCATTAAGAATGTGACTGTGTTTATCGGTCTACTATTAATTAAGCATGTGATTGTGTTTATCGGTCTACGATTCATTAAGAATGTGACTGTGTTTATTGGTTTACGATTCATTAAGCATGTGACTGTGTTTATCGGTCTACGATTCATTAAGAATGTGACTGTGTTTATCGGTCTACTATTAATTAAGCATGTGATTGTGTTTATCGGTCTACGATTCATTAAGAATGTGACTGTGTTTATTGGTTTACGATTCAATAAGCATGTGACTGTGTTTATCGGTCTTCGTTCCATTAAGCATGTGACTTTGTTTATCGGTCTACGAATCATTAAACATATGACTGTGTTTATCGGTCCGCGATTCATTAAGCATGTGACTGTGTTTATCGGTCTGCGATTCATTTAGCATGTGACTGTGTTTATCGGTCTACGATTCATTAAGCATGTGACTGTGTTTATCGGTCTGTCTCTTATACACATCTAGATGTGTATAAGAGACAGCTGTTTATCGGTCTACGATTCATTAAGCATGTGACTGTGTTTATCGGTCTACGATTCATTAAGCATGTGACTGTTTATCGGTCTACGATTCATTAAGCCTGTGATTTCGCTTATCGGTCTACGATTCATTAAGCATGTGATTTCGCTTATCGGTCTACGATTCATTAAGCATGTGACTGTTTATCGGTCTACGATTCATTAAGCCTGTGATTTCGCTTATCGGTCTTCGATTCATTAAGCATGTGACCTGTCTCTTATACACATCTAGATGTGTATAAGAGACAGGGCATGTGACTGTGAATATCGGTCTTCGATTCATTAAGCATGTGACTGTGTTTATCGGTCTACGATCTGTCTCTTATACACATCTAGATGTGTATAAGAGACAGGTCTACGATTCATTCATTAAGCATGTGACTGTGTTTATCGGTCTACGATTCATTAACCTGTGAATGTGTTTATCGGTCTTCGATTCATTAAGCCTGTGATTTCGCTTATCTGTCTACGATTCATTAAGCCTGTGACTGTTTATCGGTCTACGATCTGTCTCTTATACACATCTAGATGTGTATAAGAGACAGGTCTACGATTCATTAAGCCTGTGACTGTTTATCGGTCTACGATTCATTAAGCCTGTGACTGCGTTTATCGGTCTACGATTCATTAAGCCTGTGATTTCGCTTATCGGTCAACGATTCATTATAAGCATGTGACTGTTCATCGGTCTTCGATTCATTTAGCATGTGACTGTGTTTATCGGTCTATGATTCATTAAGCATGTGACTGTTTATCGGTCTACGATTCATTAAGCCTGTGACTGTCAAGCTTGACGCCTTGGTCAGATGTTAGTGCAAAATAAAGGGCAAGCTTGACGCCTTGGTCAGATGCTAGTACAAAATTAAGGGCAAGCTTTACGCCTTGGTCAGATGGTAGTACAATATTAAGGGCAAGCTTGACGCCTTGGTCAGATGTTAGTACAAAATTAAGGGCAAGTTTGACGCCTTGGTCACATGTTAGTGCGAAATTAAGGGCAAGTTTGACGCCTTGGTCAGATGTTAGCCCAAAATTAAGGACAAGCTTGACGCCTTGGTAAGATGTTAGTACAAAATTAAGGGCAAGCTTGACGCCTTGGTCAGATGTTAGTACAAAATTAAGGACAAGCTTGACGCCTTGGTCAGATGTTAGTACAAAATTTAGGGTAAGCTTGACGCCTTGGTCAGATGTTAGTACAAAATTAAGGGCAAGCTTGACGCCTTGGTCAGATGTTAGTACAAAATTAAGGACAAGCTTGACGCCTTGGTCAGATGTTAGTACAAAATTTAAGGCAAGCTTGACGCCTTGTCAGATGTTAGTACAAAATTAAGGACAAGCTTGACGCCTTGGTCACATGCTAGTACAAAATTAAGGACAAGCTTGACGCCTTGGTCAGATGTTAGTTCAAAATTTAGGGCAAGTTTACGCCTTGGTCAAATGTTAGTACAAAATTAAGGTCAAGTTTGACGCCTTTGTCACATGTTAGTACAAAATTAAGGGCAAGTTTACGCCTTGGTCAAATGTTAGTACAAAATTAAGGTCAAGTTTGACGCCTTGGTCAGATGTTAGTGCGAAATTAAGGGCAAGTTTACGCCTTGGTCACATGTTAGTACAAAATTAAGGGCAAGTTTACGCCTTGGTCCGATGTCAGTAGAAAATTTCAGCGCAGTGCCCCTGGAATGCATGTTGCACGCATTCCATTAAAAAATTCCACCATCCACCTGAAATTACCTTCAGTGTTTCTCTGGCGGTTGTGGCGAGAGGTTGTACGTGTCATTCGCTCCCGTCTCGGGTTACGTCCGTATTTTTTTGCGTGCCCCAAACCCCGGATGTTTTTACGGTCGTTTTTTTTTCATTTTGTAGTCGAAGAAAATTAGCATGCCATGTGCTGAAAGAAAAAGAATCTTCTTTATGATCTGCAAATGAAATATCGATTTTTTCATGAACCAATAACGGAGTGAAATAAAATCTTACTTATAGGCATTTCATATTAAAAAATTGAGAGAAAATTTGAAGAAAATTTCTCAATGTTAACTGTTTCACAAATGTAAACTAATTTACTTCCCATAAACTAGAGTGATTGTGTATAAATCGTACCCGAAAACTTTCCACGAGGACACACAAAAAAGCTAGCCAGATTTATAACTAAATATCATCAGATATTACATTAGTTCAACATTATTTTCTTATCTCTTTTTCATTCATTTTTGTCTTAGATTTTATAATCATCAATTTTTTCATCGTCCATTTTTTATTATTTCATATTATTTCACCTGCCATCATTATATTCAAGATTATTTTTGAAGCAGTTCATCATCCATTATGAAGCGATTGCTTGAATTTATATTTATTTTAATTTATTTTATTTTTATTTCGGAACAGTGCTGAAAAGAAATAAACTAAGAATATTTTAAACTAATTTTCCAATGTTGAAAAACAAAATTGCATCACCGACTGATATTTTTAAATGAATTTAAACGCTTAAAAGAAGTCTGTGCAACGTTTGTTGAACTGTTTCATACATGATTGTTGAATGCAGCTGTGTGGCGTCTGTTGAACTGTTTTATATATGATTGTTGAATGCAGCTGTGTGTAGTCTGTTGAACTGTTTCATGCATGATTGTTGAATGCAGCTGTGTGGCGTCTGTTGAACTGTTTCATACATGATTGTTGAATGCAGCTGTGTGGCGTCTGTTGAACTGTTTCATACATGATTGTTGAATGCAGCTGTGTGGCGTCTGTTGAACTGTTTCATACATGATTGTTGAATGCAGCTGTGTGGCGTCTGTTGAACTGTTTCATACATGATTGTTGAATGCAGCTGTGTGGCGTCTGTTGAACTGTTTCATACATGATTGTTGAATGCAGCTGTGTGGCGTCTGTTGAACTGTTTCATACATGATTGTTGAATGCAGCTGTGTGGCGTCTGTTGAACTGTTTCATACATGATTGTTGAATGCAGCTGTGTGGCGTCTGTTGAACTGTTTCATACATGATTGTTGAATGCAGCTGTGTGGCGTCTGTTGAACTGTTTCATACATGATTGTTGAATGCAGCTGTGTGGCGTCTGTTGAACTGTTTCATACATGATTGTTGAATGCAGCTGTGTGGCGTCTGTTGAACTGTTTCATACATGATTGTTGAATGCAGCTGTGTGGCGTCTGTTGAACTGTTTCATACATGATTGTTGAATGCAGCTGTGTGGCGTCTGTTGAACTGTTTCATACATGATTGTTGAATGCAGCTGTGTGGCGTCTGTTGAACTGTTTCATACATGATTGTTGAATGCAGCTGTGTGGCGTCTGTTGAACTGTTTCATACATGATTGTTGAATGCAGCTGTGTGGCGTCTGTTGAACTGTTTCATACATGATTGTTGAATGCAGCTGTGTGGCGTCTGTTGAACTGTTTCATACATGATTGTTGAATGCAGCTGTGTGGCGTCTGTTGAACTGTTTCATACATGATTGTTGAATGCAGCTGTGTGGCGTCTGTTGAACTGTTTCATACATGATTGTTGAATGCAGCTGTGTGGCGTCTGTTGAACTGTTTCATACATGATTGTTGAATGCAGCTGTGTGGCGTCTGTTGAACTGTTTCATACATGATTGTTGAATGCAGCTGTGTGGCGTCTGTTGAACTGTTTCATACATNTACTGCCACACTCTGTATCTTAGTTACTGCCACACTCTGTATCTTAGTTACTGCCACACTCTGTATCTTAGTTACTGCCACACTCTGTATCTTATGTTACTGCCACACTCTGTATCTTAGTTACTGCCTCACTCTGTATCTTAGTTACTGCCGCACT